ATATAATAATATGAAGCAACAGTCATTAACCAGAACATACATTAAACTTAGACAAACTGAGAGAGCTGCAAGCTTATGGTTCTGTAATACTTTTACGGCTACTTTTTAAGCCCGAGAGTGTCCAGAACATTATGTGGCCGTTTCTATCTAAATTTACACGAGATCAGCATTACATGCCAAATATGGAAAACGATTTGCACATTGTAACTGAGGAATTAGACTAATAAACGTATAGCATTTGATTACGCATAGATCCATTTGATGTTGCAGTCACCGACCAACTTTTCTATATTATTATACACCAAGACTTTACAGCTCAAAATACAACAACCCGGGAAAATATCAAATAACTATAGAACGAATTAGTTGAATTTACTAAAATAGCCCTCTATTTGGAATTCATCCCCACAATAAATAGAGTCGAACAACAGTGTAAAAATAGCATTACCTCAAATTCATTCTTGAGATGGTCCAATTCCTTGTCCAAATCATTGATAGCCTGATTATATGCCTGCATAGGCGAAGACTGGCTTGTAGTGTGTATCTGCAAATCAATTAAATAATCAAACACATCAAAACCAATGCAAACCGAAATATGAATATGAAGAAAAAATAAGAAATTTGTGTAAATTGTTTTGCTCGATTAGGATTTACGACATACAGTTAAACCTCTATAAATTAATAGAGTCGGGATCAGCCAAATTATTAATTTAGCGAAATATTAATTTAATATAATATTTTTTAACACGTTGCCTTCGAGTTGGGACCAGGAAAACATATTACTTAAACGAGGTTATTAATTTATCGAGTATTAATTTATCGAGGTTCTACTGTACTATGATTAAAACATTGTCTGAATTAAGAAGATGAGGAACAGGGAAATATGAAATGATAAATACAAACCCTTAAAAGTATCTTGTACTGAAGAGGGTGCGGCAACTTATAGCCAGCAAATAGCACGTTCTCATCCCTGTGCAATTGCCTGTTTTTCATTCGACAGAAACGATTAGGGTTTTCAAGAAAAAAAGGTGAATACTGAAACTATTACAAAAACGAAAAAGAAAAAATAAACATATAATCATATACATGCGGACAATGTTGCCGATGGTGTGGTCCTCACGCTCGACTGTAAACGACGCCGCGTTTATGATTTTCGTGTCCCTCTCGTACGACACCCTGTTTTGCCAATCAAATTTCCATCATCCCAAAATTTAAACAAGAAAACAAAAAACAAAAAGGGTAAAATATATGTTTGTGTGTGTGTGTGTGTGTGTGTGTGTGTGTGTGTGTGTGTGTGTGTGTGAGTGAGAGTTTGAGTACTTGGAGACACCCTCGGGGACGACGAATCGTTCATAACGATCGGGGGCATTCATTGTCGCTTCCTCGCTGCTTTTTGCTTCGGCTTCTACTACAATAAAACCAATATGTTTTTTAAACACGATACCGGATTTTAATTTTTTTTTTCATACAAAAAAATCCATCAGATAAACAACAAAAACTAAAATTACAACATTCTACTATATATTTTTGGTAAATAAAAACACCAATGTTCTTAATATTCATAGAATCATTCCTATTATCGGTGTGTTCTATTGATTGATTTTTTATTTATTTTTTATTTCATGGTATTAATCCCATTCCTGCTTTATAACCCCCAACCAAACGCACCCCCGCGGAATTTCGTTCCTCCGGCGAATCAAATTCAACACAAGCATGAAATAAAAATAGTTTACAGAGATGGCTTACAGTGGCTTGTGGCGGTGGGTTGTGGCGGCGAATTGCGGCAGCGGCGGGAATGGTGGAAGCCCTAATATCGCAGGGGTGGTACCAGTGAAGAAGAAAGGAAAATTGCAATTGACTATTTGTGCTACACTGCTATTGCATTTGCTGCGCCATTTGTGAATTTCATTATTTATTTTAGTTTTCTTTTTTCATTTTTCCCTGAACATCGACGTCGTTTCATTACTGATTTTCACTCTTTTTTTTTTTTTTTTTTTTTTTTTTTTTGGAAAATTAAAACGCATCTAATGGCTCGTTTGGGGTTTCTAAATAAATTAAGAATATATATGATAATTGGGAAATTATAAATACATGATGATTTTTAGTAGGTCATTTTTTTAACTTCAATTTTTAATCTCACTTCACACATTCATCATTTCTTTAAATTTATTGTTCTAAATAAAGTTTTCATGTTTCACTTTTATTATATTTGACGCTGCTCCAAAATGGTGGGTCAGCCCAATGGTCTTGAAGCCCGTAGATCTCTTAAGTTCGGGAATCTTTAAGTCCAATATCAAGAATGTCGAGGGTTCTTGTCACGTGTTCAAAGGGATCAAAGGTGTGGGTCTGCCGAATAACATATAAAACAAATCAAGACACTAGTGACTCATCGGGTGGGCCCGTCGATTATTCTTCGACGCTCAAGTTAGATATTGGAAGTGATACCTTGTCTTTATAGGAGGACTTGATTACTAGTTTCTTGTAAACTTTTAATGTGGAACACGTGTAGAAGTGTGAAACTTCTTGTAGAGATTCAATGTGGGAGAAAATTATAGAAGCGATGCTCTAATTGAATTTTTCCCTTAATTGACATTTAATGGACCAGGTTTAAAATCCAATTAGACACATCAATATTTACATTTAATTAAATTTTGTGTTGTTGAATTTTCAATTTATTTTTACTTTTAGAATTAAATTGGGGGATTATCTACACTCAAAATATGTCTTGAAATTAAAAATATAGGTTTCAACTTAGAGTAAGAATTTTGGGCTGATTTGTAATTAAAAACAGAAAAAAGTGTTGATAAAATTCGAGCTGGAAAAGTTTCACAAATCCTGAAAAACAAACGTTTACGGTAGTCTGACTTATGTTCAGTACAAAATTGTGTTTTAATGATTAATAATGCAATATCTTACAAAATAAAGGTTTGAAAGAAAAAGATGGAGTTAGTGCTAGGTTTTAATTTATTAAATAATATATCCTACATTTACTAAAAGATATCCTGTATTTATCAGCACCCATGATAATTTGAGTTTTTTTGGTAGTATTTGATCAAATATATTACATCGTCTCATCTACTATTATATTGGGGGCGGCTAAAATAAATCTCATTTCTTTCTTAATAGATGGTGTTTGTAAAAGCTTATTTAAAAACAAAAGTTATGAATTGTGTTAAGTTAGTTTTAAGTGTTTATTTTTAAAAGTTGGGGGTGTTTGCAATTTTGTTAGAGAATAAACTTAAATGAAAAAACAGGGTTGTGGATGTTGTTCCCGATATATAAAACGGGTAGTGAATTTAGTAAATTGGTTGAACAAATTAATTAGTGAAAATACGGAATAATTAGCCGAGGCGAGTTGACTATGTCCTTAAGACGAAATTTCCCCGCAACGGTGCTAACGGATTAAATGGAAATCGTCTCCCAAGATACAACGGCTAAACTTGGAATAGGAGCACTCCAAATCCCAAGTACGACGAACTGTACTTCGTGTAGAACTTTTCGAGAGAATCTGTGAAGGGTAGGCTTAATATGTAGTAGGCTTGTTTTTGGATTGAAGTGAGGAATTTTGGGAAAGTTATGGTCTATTTATAAGGTTCGAAAAGTAGTGTCCTTTGGAGCAAAAAGGTACCTTTTGTTTGAATGGTTGCACCATTTCGAGTTGAGCCAATTGGGAGTAGTTGCACCATTTCGAGTTGAGCCGAATGGTTTGCATTGGTTCGGCCGCACCAATTCAGACCAGTCAAACCAATCGAGATGGGCTTCGAGTAATAAGGGCCCAATGGGCTAAAAGCCCATGACCTAATGTTTTTGGCCCGTCCCAATATTTTGATATATATACAGCTCAGTACTTCTCTACTTTTCCAATATGGGATAACTCAAATCCCACTTTCCTTATATTTTGGACTAGTAATTTTTTTTCATTCACCACAAAATTGGTTCTAATCCAAAATTCATTTATATACTCAATTAGACCGTACAATAACATTGATAAAAAATTGTTCATGACTCAATTTTGATATATATGCTTAATGAATATTCATGATGTTTGTGTATGTACATTAATAATAGAAATATTTTTATCCTAAATAAAATAAAGTGATAGCGTATGTGCTAATTATTTT